TTTATAGAATCAACCCATAATCAATAGGCAGTATCAATAAACGAATACATAGCACCCCTCCCCCCTAAGTTAGCACACATAACGTTTCAATTAGTTGGGGTACATCCGTACCCTTTGGGAACGGCAGAGTTCCCTAGCTGGCAAGACAGGGCCTGTCCATGTCCATAGCGCCGTTAGGAGCCGTAGCGCTCGAACGCTTGGGGTCTGGAACAGTGTTAGTTCTGAAGGTTTCCCACGTTCAGTGTGGGGTGTCGATGGTGCTATTGCCTCAGACCTGCTCGTATACTGGAGCGCATTGCAAGTTTCCTCCAACCCAGTAGAAGACTGGGGAGTGTTGCAATTCGTGATTGACTGAGGAGCGTTGCAAGTTGCCTCCGACCCAATAGTAGACTGGGGGGTGTGGCAAGGCATAGCTGGTCACTCCTGGCAGGGTTGGCAGTACGCAGGGTCTCCAGCACTCTGTGGTGATGTAGGGGGGCACTGGCCATGCGATTCTTCTGATGTTGGCATCCCTGTTGATGTGACGTGCAACTCTGGAACGCCAGGGTCTGTCAGCCGGGTGGCCATTCCCTCCACAAGCGGTTGAGAACCGGGAAACTCGTGGGGTCTCATGCGACATGGGAGGTGACATTGGGGGCATGCGCCGGTGGCTGCGTAAACCTCACGATGGCTTTGGTGTTGCATACCAGTGGCCTTCTCCACTCATCGGCATGACCGATATCTAGCCTGTAGTACTCTTTGTGGCAGTATGCGGACGTGACAACTGGGACTGACTGGGCCTGCTGTGCTGGACCCCTGTAAGACGGATGCCCAGCGCCTTGGGCCAATCACGTCCCAGGAGACTGGGGCAATGTCTTTTGACAACTCCATCAGTGGAGTTTGTGTCTGAAGCTCAAGCTTGTTTACCCTAAGCAATATCCCATTTAGGTTACATAAGCCTCGCACATAAGTAACTACAGGTTTCATAGAATCATCAATAAACGAATACTTAACACAGACTTTTGGTCACAAATACAGCTCACAAGGTCCAACCTCTGTACTCAGTTGTAAAATTCCATACAGTTAGGACATTTACATCTGAAAATTTTAGAGCCATTTCTGCTACTAAGTTCATTGTTGACAGGACTATTCCATATCGCATGCAACAGTGAACCCAGCAGCCTGTGATACCAATCATATTATTTTTTTAAAAAGCATTAAAAAGGTCTTATGTGATACTACTTGTTGTGTTAATTTTAGGCCAAATTCGGGTTTTTAATATATTGTGCAGTTGCATGTACTGCCATTCCACCTATTTGTATTCTGCAAGACATTGTCATCTGGTCCAATTAAATTATTGGGGGGGGAAAAATTTTTTCCCCCTTTTTCCCTAGAAAACATATACTAGCAGTTTTAAAATCTGGCTTGAACTACAGTGTTTGCTTGCATGTGGGAATCTCTCGCTGTGACAGTGACACAAATCTTACATGCTTTTTTATTAAGACAAATTAAACTCGTTTTGCTCAACCTTTTGGTATGGAGGGGGGGTAATGAGCTTCATTTTTGGTCCATGGTGTCTGTCTTTACATTCCTGTGTGCTGGCTAAAGGAGAGGGTCTGTGGTGCTTAATTCAATTTGGAAAAGTTGAAGCAGCCACCTTTTAGTAGCTATTGTAACTTTTAAAAATTCCATCTGAATGATGTGGATAAGATCTGGAGAGTGTATTATTTTTCATTTTGGACTTCAGTTTTGATCTTGTACCACTGCTTTGGCACCTTGTCTTGTTCACCAGCTATTGTTGGTTTTATTTACATTCAGGAGAGACATTCCATATTACCAAGGCATTCTTCTGTTAGTGTAGGTTAAATGTTAAGAGAATAGTAATGGCTTTGCAAGTTTAACATATTCAAAAATCAAAACTGATTTCTTTTTCTTTTTTTAAACCCCCGGAGGGGTATTTTTATTATTTTTTCATAGACTACATAACTACAAAGAAACTTGGGGGGGGGGGGGGGACTACAACTATGGATAAAGGAAAGATACCCACACTAACTAAAAACCCAAGAGAGGGAGATCACCTCCGTGTTAAACTAAATGGTAGTAATTAAAGTGTTAGTAGCACAATATACTTGTAGAGTTCTTGTTTTTCACAGCTTCTATATTAGTATGTTAGTTGTTCTGAGAGAACTTTCTGAGCATTTTACTTCAAAAGGTGATTTTCAAAGTCCTTCTGCCTTTACTTCGATTTTCTGTCTCTAAAGTCATATACAGCTTTCATTGCTCCCACACCCGTTTCAACCGCAGAGTCCTCATCCATTCCAGAGGTGGCAGAGTCACTTGATTTGGTTTCTTCCTCTTTGGATTCTTCCCCCAATCCCAGCTGACGTCTCAAATGCCTTGGCTTTAAAAATGGAGTCAATCTTCTCTCTTTTATTGTTGATTTTGAAGATGACCCCTTCAGGAATTGACCACTGGTACTGAATTCCATTAGTTTGAAGAAAAGAGATTAGATCCTTGTAGCTTTTCCTCTTTTGGCGAATTTCAAAAGGAATATCTTTTAAAGTCTTAATAGTTGTATTCCCAAATTTCAGTGGAGTTGCTGACGTTGCCTTTAATATACCATCTCTGGTCTGTCTTCTTGAAAATCTGACCACAATCTCTCCAGGCAGGCTATTTTTTAAAATATAATTGGAGTAAGCCCGGTAGGCTGTTTCCATATATTTTACTATTTCATCCGTTGATAAGCCTGTTACTGGGGCAATAATCTTGCCCAGAGTCTTCTTCAGATCTTCTTTTTCAGTTTCAAGAACTCCCTGGAATCTGAGAATCATCTTGGCCTTTTCCATTTGCAGCTGTAACAAACGGTTTTCTTGGAGGTTTTGTTATGTTTCCTTCTCTCCCATTCTTTTCTTCATTTTCTTGTTTGTGGTGTCTATCTCTGTGATTCTCTCGTTCGCATGCTCCACTTTCTTTTCCATTTCTGCCAGCTGGCGCTGCTGTAAAGCGAAGTTTTGGTTTAACGAGGTCAGTTGCTGGTTAATACCATCGAGTTGCTCCATCATTGGCTTGAGCATATCCGCTAACATCTTCATGCCGTCTGCTCCCTCTTCTGGTCATGGGCTCTGGCTGCCCGGTTTCGCTTTTAACTTTCCTCGGGAAGCTGCCATTTTACAACTTTGTTTACAGTTTCAAACCGCTTCGCAGGGGCTCGAAAAACTCGTCCCATCACTCTCGGTACTCAAGTAAGTCTCTCAAAACAATCTAGCTATTTGTATCCTCCCTTCCTCCCTTGATACGTTTATCTGTCCATGCGCTTAAGAGGTGTCCCTCTTTGCGCTCCACTTTTCTCGCAGGGGGGGGAAATGAATACCCCCCCGTGAGAAAAGTGGAGCGCAAAGAGGGACACAACAGCAGGACCGTCAGGGCGGAGGGAAGCCTCTATTCTCCGGCATCGAGCCGTCAAAGAGGCTAACCCTCAAAAGCCCTCTGGCCTGGAGCCTATCACAAAGGCTCCGTGGGGGTGCCACTTGAGGTAACACCCCTCCATGCCGCTGGTGTGCTAATCGCTCCCCCGAAATCCGGGGAGAGCGACCGCCATCGCCAGTCCACAGACCGGAAGTCTCAAAACTGATTTCTAAGTTTCATTTGAAATTAGCATATCATTGCAAAATACTCTTGACAAATATTTTCTTAGCACAGCTTGCACTCCTTTGTCTTAGAATTCTGCTGCTAACCAGAATACTAATAGTTCAGCACTACTGGGTCCCCCCCCCCAATCTGTTATAGAGCAGGTTGCAGCAGTAGACCCTCCTTTCCAGATGGTAGTAGAGCCTGCCCTCACATACAATTCCAGAAGCACACTTCATGTATTTTTTCCTTAAGAAAGTTATCTTTTTATTAAAAAAAAGTTTTGATTTGGTAAACTCTTTCCATACTTAGTACCATTCAGGTTATTAAGTGTATTTTGATTATTTTTGACTGTTTTATTAGTGTTATTAGCAGCTTGGCATTGTTTTAAAACAGTCTTTACTGATTTTTTAAACTTATTTAAACATAATCTGGTAATATATATATATGTAATCTGTGAAGTGAGTATTCTCATCTAATAGTATTCAGTTAGTTTTGTTGGCTTCAGGCCAAGTATGCTTTCCTAGAAACCCATTTTTTAATTGGAGTATTTTTCTGTACTGTCTTTGGTTTAACTTACTGTCATTCACTGCTACAAAAATATCTTTGGTAGCATCTACCCAGGCCTTCGTATTGTGCTTCAAAATCCTTCTTCCCTGGTGGTTTAGTCCTGTTGACAATGACATAAATCACAGTTCCACTAGACAAATCTATTGCATTGCAAGGGTAAACAGACAAATTTAAGAGATTTCTCTAGGAGTTAACTGCTCTTTTATATAGGCATGTATGAAATACTTAGATATTGAAGTTACTTACATATTTACTGCACCTGTAAAAACTGTTACTGCTTCAGTGTCTTGTTCATGCTAATGAAGAGTTGTTTGGCACATGTGGAGGTCATACAAACAAGGTTGTGAGAGTATGTGGGATAGAACATAATTTAAGGGATTATGGTCAGAGTCAGACAACAAAATAAGTTGATAACTCAAGGAGACTTCTCCTTCATGAAAACGTTGCTTAAATATAAAAAGGTGTTATATATATATATA